ATGGATTTAAATGATGGATCTGAGGCTGAGACAGATGAGAAAATTTTTAAAAGGATGGTTTCTTTTGAATGAATCTGAAAACAAGTGTTTGCAACACCGGCCTGATGAATCATTCCCAGGATTTAAAGCAAATAATATAATAGACTTTAAGATAGAAATTAACTCCAATCAGCAATGACTGTGGTTAGAAATGGCTCCTCCCAATATTTAGAGTGCTACACATTTTTCTGACATTTAAGAAGAATCTTTTCCTGGATTGTTTTGCATGGGGGGTGGGTGGGAAAGAAATACATTAAAATAAACAAATTAAAGTCAGAATACATGCAACATCTGGAGTTTCTCACCAGAAAGACATGGATTTTAGCAATCTGCAAGTTTAAGCCTTGATTCTCAGAAGCTGAAAATGTTAAATTTTGGGGCCACCTTTTTATGACTCCATGCAATGAAGATTTTTAATCAGCTCAGGTGGAAGAACTTGCTCGGATGCTTAAAAAGACGCAGATGCATCCACTCCCATTCTTTGAGCCATTTTATCTTGATAGATTGCAAATTAAATTTACAGGCAGCAATGGGAACCGGAAGGGGCAAAGCCAAAAAAAGCGTGGCTGGATTGTTGGCGAATTCTTTTGAACCCAGAACACGATCCAAATTAAATTCCAAAATATTCCTAATCCATTTGTCTTCTGAAGTTTCCAAAACCCGTTTCCCCCCCCCCCCTTCTCTTTGTTTCTTGCTGGCATGGAGAACAATTGTGACTCAGTGTTCGACTTGGGATTATTTTCAATTCCTGCGGGAAAAACTGAAATCGAAAAGTTGATCCTCTTGGCATGAAGATTTTTTTTCCTAGCATGGTTTTGGAGCCAAAGATATGGTGGCATTTGATGGAGAAGATTGCTGATTTTTTTATAGGCCTCCTCTCTCAATATTCTGATTGATTGATCATTTATATGCCATCATTTTTTTATTTCTAGCAATCACATAGATATATTTTCTCCAAGGGCCCCTACCCAAAAAAGCTTGGCTTGCTCCAATAAATTCGATTTATTGTAAAACGATGGTTACCCTGAAAAAGCTTTGCCTTGAATGCAACTCGCTTTGCTAAAGTTTCAAAGAGAGATAAAATGCAAGATAGTGGGAAAAAGAAGAAGAGGAAAACGTAAGGGAAAGAGAATGCAAAAGAGGAAAAATTACAAACTAGTCAAGAAAACAAATGAAATAAAACAGATGGATTCCCAACTGTCTTCAGCATAGATATGTAGTAGAATAACGTCTTGGTTCTTAATGAAAACGGAAGAGTTTGAATGAGAATCAGAAGCAGTTAAATTTGAACATCTCTCCCAAAATTTCAGAGTTTTGGCCAAGGAGGACCTACCTCCAGGACCAAACTGTCTTAATCTTTGGTGATTTTTCTTAATTTTCACCCCTGGGATCGTGAAGCTTCCTGCCACGTGAAGCTCTTATAGCCATGTCTGGACTGAGAACAACCAAGGGGAAAAAAATTACGGTTTTTCTTCTAAGCAATTCTCCACCAGGTTTTGGAAAGGGCTCACCTTCCTCGTCTGAAAATTAAATTTATCCACTCCCTCGAGCTTCGTTTTAAAGTGAGACCCCGATCTGGAATTAAGGCATCTTAACTTGGGGCAACGACATTGAAGGTGCCTCTCGAATACCGTGGAGATCTTCTCCAAATTTCACCCCCTCGTGTTGCCTTTCAAGAACACCCTGAAATGAGGCCCATCTTCTTCCTTCTGTCTTTTGTTGCTCACCCTCCAAAAAAAAACCCACAACACACAACCCACCCCACCCCATTTCCCCCCTCTCCTTTCACCTTTCGTTTCTTGCCACATCGACAACCCATCGTTCTTCCCCGACAGATTGGACTCTCGGTGTCGCCGGCAAAAAAATTCCCTCTAGATAACAGAGGTGGGTTTCTGGAGCTTGAGAAGAAGTCAAGTGGGGTTTCCTATGACAGGGCAGGAGAAAAAGCAGAAAAAGAATTATTTGTGTGTGTGTGTGTGTTTGTGTGTGTGAAATGCTCTTTTTGGTGTCTGCCTTGAAAACTGAGCCATCCCCACACCGTACAGATCTGTTCTGGGCTGCCCTAAACAAGTTTGGAGATGCGAGTTGCCCAAACTTGTCCATCCGAGAAGATTCAGAGAAGAAGGGGAGAGAGGAGGAAAGCTGCCAAGAAGGTGGGGAAGGGAAGGGAAGAAGGGGAGACCCTAACTCTCGAATGGTCCTCATCTTGGTTTTTTGGGGAAGGGGACCTCAAGACAGAAGGCTGACTTACCTGCTCGATAGGGTTTAGAGGTGCTGCTTTCGGTTGTCGCCTTGCCACGGTTTTATACCTCGGGAAGGTGTGTCCAGGAGACACCTTATGGAGGGAGAGACGAGTTGCAAGTGTGGTGCAATCTTCTCCTCCTTTGTGCTGGCTGGCCCCCGGCCAGAAGACAACGCTCAGACGCCACCCATTGCTCTGTCCTTACTCACAGCTCAAGGATGAGCCTGCTTCCTCCCTTCCCCCATGGTCCAAGTTCACCGTTGGCTTGGTTGACTTCGTTGAGATGGTTGAGGAGAAGCACGCCTCACACTGATGTGGGGGGGGAACCCACAACCATATTTGCTCCATGGGAAGTCCCAGGCGAAGGTTGTGGGGGGCGCTGTGTGGCTTTGGATTCTCTCCTCACCCTTGTGGGACCTTCTCTAGGAGGACTTGGTGGCTCCTTGAGAGCTTGAGGTTGAAGGGGACTCTTTAGTGGAGATATCTCCAGCTTTGAGGGTGGCAAAGGGGTTCCCTCATAAGGAAGGGAGGCCTGTTCCCAGGGAAAGAAGTCTCTGTCTGACCAGCAGCCCTTTTGGGACGTTCTCAAGAAGGTCCTACTCATAGAAGGGCATCTCAGTTAGAAGGTTCCAGCGGTTGAGCTGAGAGCAAAACTTGGAGAGCCCCCAGCATTGAAAACTCTCCACTCCTCCTTCCTGAAGACCTAAATAATATTTATTTATCGGTTCTCTGACGTTGTTTGTCCAGCAGTCCTTATCACAGCTGGACTTTTGGACTTTGTTGTGAGCCAACCAGACAAAGAATCATCTTCTCTGGATAGTTGGTCTGTGATGACCCAAAGGGGCGTGGCACAAAGGCAACACAGTCACATAAGTAAGAAGAGTCCCTTTAATACCTCCAACTTTGCCCCCAATGTCCAGGTTACCTTCGGCTGGAGAGAAAAAAAAACAACTCTCCCCAAAACAGTCTTTAAGTGGAGGAAATTCAGTCCAAAAACAAAATACACACAAACTGTAGCTAAAAATCCACACAAACCACGCTGCAGCAATTAACTGGACAGGGCAGGATAAGGAATTGCAGACTTGAAAGGCCATCAAAACACACACAGTTGGGAAGATGCCAGGACCCCAGATAAAGCCTTGACAATACCGGATAATTCACAGTTTGCTCCCAACAAGTTGCTGTGCGCAACCTCCCTTTTTAAACACTGTGTTCCCAGCTGCTGCTAATGAAGGGAATCAGGGCCCTTTCCTCCCCCGTAAGCCACACAACTCATGTTGCTCCCTTCTCCGTTCCTCCCTGCGTGCCCTAGACTGAAGAGGGGGCGGGCCTGAAGAGGGGGCGGGTTCCTCTGAACTCCCTCTCATTCTACCTCTCCCCTGCTCTGCCCAGCCAGACTGTGCCCTTCCCCAGTTTCTTCCACAGCCAACCCCTCCCCCGCCCCCTGCATATCATTTCAGGAGTCTCTAGGATTGATCGCACAGTCAAAAAGACCGACAAATTCCTTGGAAAAAATGAAACTTCACCCTTGGCTGCCTTGCGAGTTTCCTTTTCACACAGCTTTGTGTGGCTTGTAAGGTCAGTTCCCAAAGTGTTGAGCTGTGGCTTGTGGTTTAAGCGTTGTTGCCTAACCCTGGGGTGTCTGACAAACCATCATTGCAGACCACACAAAGGAGCGACTTAGCACTATGTATATAATTGTAGATCAATGTAAACAAAACATTTGCTAGACTTGAATACAGCTCATCAGTCTGGAACCCGCCTTACATATCGGATATTAATACAGTTGAGAAAGTCCAGAAATATTTCACAAGAAGAGTTCTCCACTCCGCTAATAGTTGCAGAAGACCTTATGCCACCAGACTTGAAATTTTAGACCTAGACAACCTAGAACTATGCCGCCTTCGGTCCGATCTAAGAATAGGATATAAAATCATACATTGCAATGTCCTACCTGTCAATGAATACTTCAGCTTCCACCATAACAACACAAGAGCACACAATAGATACAAACTCAAGGTAAACCGCACCAAACTTGACTGCAGGAAATACGACTTCAGCAACAGAGTGGTCAATGTCTGGAATCCTCTACTTGACTCTGTGGTTTCTTCCCCAAACCCCAAAAACTTTAACCTTAGACTGTCTACTATGGACCTCACCCCTTTCCTAAGAGGTGTGTAGGGGGCGTGCATAAGCGCACCAACGTGCCTCCCATCCCTGTCCTATTGTTTCTTTTTATTTTTCTTATTCGTATCCATTTCATGTATTCATAACCATGTTTATACTTATACCTGTTATCCAATAACTGCTTGACAAAATAAATTAAAAAATAAAAATAAAAATAGAAATAATACACAGCTAGCACTATATTAATAACATAAGGGAAAAAGGAAATTAACTGTTATGCGTCTCTCTATACTATAGTTTGTATGGCCAAAATGATGGCCCAGAAGGTTGCGCCGTGTTCAATTGTTTTTTTTAATGTTTATTCAATAAAATTATTTAAAAAAAAAAAACAATTAAAAAACAAACGAGCGATTTAGCAAGGTTATTCACTTCGGGATTTGATGCATTGATTTCTCTTCTCTCTCTCTCTCTCTCTCTCTCTCTCTCTCTCTCTCTCTCTCTCTCTCTCTCTCTCTCTCTTTCTCACACCCGCCTCAGCTTCCCTGTCAATTTAGCAGCTGATCCCGTCTCCACGGTGACATATCATCACCGCCCTGCAGACTCAAATTCTTCGGCACCTACTTCACCCGGCCACAAAATTGCTCCCCGTATCCGACGCGTGCTTGAAGCAACTCAGATGCTTCATATCCGGTTGGCGTCGTTGCGAAGACGGCTCTCATTCCCCAACGACTCGTCGAGCTGGTCTTGGTTTGAGCCAAGGGTTGGTGGAAGCATCTCGGCAGCTTCCAGGAGTCGGTGGATTGGAGTGGGGGGGGGAGTGTTGGCCCTGCCTACCTGGCCTGGCTGGTGGGCGGGGTTGGTGCGTGTTGCCCAACCAGCACAAACCTGGAGGACCAAGGAAGACTTGGGATGAAGTGAAGATGAGGTGCTTTCTCCTGGGGCACCTGGTTGGTCCTTCTCCCTTGTCCTCCTAACGGCGGGTTGGGATTATACCTTACTAGCTGGACACCTGGGCTTCACTACGAAACTATGTGGTCGGGCATAGTTTTTGTTTTGTTTTTAAATTAAATTTTTATTTTATTTTTAACATAACAATAAATCCATTCCATTTCGATCGTGTGTCGATTAGATACATATTTCATGGGGTTAACAATTACTACTAATATTCTTCTTAACCGTGTAACCGTATAATAATAATCACATTCCCGTATATATAATGTAAGTAATATTCAGTATACCTATTACACTAGTTCCTCTTATTGCTTTATAATTATATCTAATCCCTTTTAATTAATTTTATTTTCTAGCCACTTATAAAACAAGAGCCATACCATGTCATATTCAGATTCTTCTTTTTCTTTTAATTTCTAATGTTTAAGCTGTTCGTTTCTGCACATTCAAATATTTCTTCAATCATTTTTCCTTCTAGGCTTAGTTTTTGGGGAGGGAAAATAAGAGGGAGGGGAAATTCTACCCCTGCCTACCAGCATCCATCGGTATTCATCTGGCTAGCGTCCTGTCCGTGTGTGAGAGAGTGGAGGGCTGTTTGGAAAGTGAAACCGTACTTGCTGTGTGAGCAAGGAGGAGACAGCGAGGAGCCTGGGCGTGGCTTAGCTCAACTGTTCTGTACTGAAGCTGCTTGGTGCTGTGAAAGTGTAAGTGATGATGCATGAGGGGCATTTCACTTTTATATATAAAGATTGGAAGGCTGCTATCATGTCACTCCTGTCCCTTATTTTCATCAGACTAGACACATCCAATTCCTGCCACCGTTCTTCCGTCTGTTTCATCCTCCAGCCCCTTCATCCTCTTGGTTGCTCTTCTCTGCCCCTTTTTTCCAGAGTTCAACCTTGGCATCTCTTCTACATGTTCCTGTTGGAAGCAAAAAAACCTCCCCAAACTTATCTTCCCTTCCTAATAAACTCTTGTTGGGCGGTATGTTCCTGTCTTATCTACTCTGCCTTGAGTCAGTTGTTGTTCTCACCTAGCAACGGTGCATTATGGGACCTTGGAACAGGATCCCAGCATCGGAGATCTGTTCTCCCTCCCTCCCTGTTTCTTTTGACACACACACACACGCACACGTCAACACGTCAACTCAGACCTAATTGATCTGGCCATCAAACATTGAAAGCCACCAAGTCTGGGGTTTATTTGATTTATTTGAATTTTAGAAAGCTGCGAGAAGCCAGTGACCCTCGATGTCCTGACGTCTTCCCCCCCCCCCCCCATCTGACACGCGACCGAGGTGTGTGTGTGTGTGTGTTTCGTGGTCCCGTCTTCGTTCCTCCTTGATGCACCAATCCCCCCACCCCATCACTTCTTCTTCCCCACTTTCTCTCTCTTGATCCCCTTGGCCAGCTCGCCAATCAGCCGCCAGTACTCTCCAAACTTCAGCTCCTGGTCGTTGTTGACATCCAAGCTTTTCATTTTCTCCTCCAGGTTCCCGACGTTCTTGAAAAAGGGGAGGGGGGAGGAAGGGGGAAAAGAAAAGGCACAAAAGGGGAGAAAAATTATTTTAAAAAAAGGGGGGGGGAACAGTCCCTGCCCCGGTTCTCCTAAAACAGGTGGTGGGATTCATCCGGTTCGCACCGGTTTGCAAGAACCGGTTGTTAAGTTTCTGAGCGGTTTGTTGAACTAGTTGTTGGAAGAAATCATTATGGTGGAGAACCGATTGTTAAATTATTTTAATCCCACCACTGGGCCCTCCCCTCCCCATTTTCTCCCCTCCCTTCCCTTCCCCTGGACAAGCCCACCTTCATAAGGTTGGGCAGCTGGAGGGTGACCAGCTCTTTAAACTCGCTGGTGCTGAGGGTGTCCTTGTTGCCTTCGCGGGAAGCACACTGGAAAAAGACGTCCACGACTTTCTCGATGGCTTTTTCCAGCTCGGTCAGGTCGCTGCTGGCCATGGCAGATCGGATCGGGGGCGGGGTGAGGCAGGCTGGCCAGAGAAGAGGAAGAGGAAGGTGGGGTGGGAGAGAAACAGGGGGGGGGTGATGAAGAAGAAGGCTATGGGGATGCATTTCGTGAAGACAGGATTGAAAAGCAAGCACTCCTCGGCTTACGACCGCGGTTGAAACTGGTCCCTCCGTCGCGAAGCAAGGGGGGTTGTTAAGGGATCCTAAATATATCTAATCTGGAATCTGTCTTGGATTTATTCTGTAGCTTCCTTCCTTCCTTCCTTTTCTTTTTTTTTTCTTTTTCTTCTTTTTCTTTCATCTTTAATCTATCTACTAATCTATCCATCCATCCATTTACTGATCTTTTCTAACTGTTCTTTCTTTCTTTTTCTTTCTCTTCCCTTTTTCTTTTTCTTTCATCTTTACTCTAATCTATCTACTAATCTATACATCAATTTAGCAATATTTTCTAACTGCCCCTTCCTTCCTTCCTTCCTTCCTTCCCTCCTTCCTTCCTTCCTTTCTTTCCTTCCTTCCTTCCTTACTCTGTCTATCTTTTTTTAATCTTTAATCTAATTTACTAATCTTATCCATCCATTTACTAATCTTTTCTAATCTTTCCTTCCTTCCTCTTTCTTTCTTTCTTTCTTTCTTTCTTTCTTTCTTTCTTTCTTTCTTTCTTTCTTTCTTTCTTTCTTTCTTTTTCTGTCTGCCTATCGCACCTACCTACTGGCTCTGTCTCTCTGTCCGCCTTTCCAAAGATGAACGGATCCCAAATGTTCATTCACAGATTGGACAAACCCAAACCCTCTTCCTCCAGGCCCCATGCACGCTCTCTAAGCGAAGGAAAACCCCAGCCCTCCCCCCATATCCATCCTCTCTCCCTCCCCCACCGCTTCCCGCAGCCGCACGACCACTTACCCCGACCTTGGTCCCTTGCAATGAAGACCTCCAGGTGGGAAGGTGTGGGCAGATGTTTTATAGGGCCTGGATCGGGAGGTGGGGAAGGGAAGGTTGCTTGAAGTATTCGGTTTCTGTTTCCACAGCCTGGTCTCCTCCCCCACTTGGCAGACTTCTTCCGAAGCGCTTCACCCATAAACAGAGTTTTCTTTGGAAACTCTGATTCCAGACTGGAGTGACCAGCGTTTAAAATAAATCCTCCACACACACACACCCCAAAAAAACATCCTGCAGAACAAAACTGGACCTTGTGCGGGGCATAAAGGAGCCGCTTGTGTTAGATGTTTGCAACCATGGAACGAAGCGTCCTGTAGACTGGAAACTCTATTTTCATTTTTTTTTTCCCCCCTCCCAAAACATATCGGAATTCTCGCTGGTTTGGCATGGAGTAACCAGGAATGGATGAGTCTTGTTTAGCCTGATGGAGAAACAGGATGCGTGTGTCCCCAGCTGGCTGGCAGAATTGGGCTGGGCGGCCCCTGTCCCCAAAGTATTTTGTTTCCCAGTCGAAGGTGTTCCCCAACTTTTCCTTGAGCAAAACCAAGGACGCTTCCTGACGTTTGGAAAGTCGAAAATGCACATTTAGCCAGGGTTAAATGAGGCTTGAGAAGAGAAGGGAAGGAGAAAGGGAAAGAGAAAGAAGGGGGAAGGGAAAGGAAAAGGAAAAAAAAAGAGGAAAGGGAAGGGTAAGAAGGGAAGGGAAGGAGAAAGGAAGAAGAGGAAGGGAGGGAAGGAAAGGAAAAAAGAAAGGGAAGAAGGGAAGAGAAGGGGAAAGGAAAGGAAAGAGGAAGAGGAAGGGAAGGGAAAGAAGGGAAAGGTAAGAAGGGAAGGGAAAGGGAAAGGGAAAGAAAACAGAGGAAAGGGGAGGGTAAGAAGGGAAGGGAAGGAGAAAGGAAGAAGAGGAAGGGAGGAAAGGAAAAAAGAAAAAAGGAAAGAAGGGAAGAGAAGGGGAAAGGAAAGGAAAGAGGAAGAGGAAGGGAAGGGAAAAAGGGAAAGAAGGGAAAGGTAAGAAGGGAAGGGAAAGTGAAAGGAAAGGAAAAAAGAGGAAAGGGAAGGGTAAGAAGGGAAGGGAAGGAGAAAGAAAGGAAAGGAAAAGGAAGGAAGGGAACGGGAAGGGAAGGGACAGGAACAGAGGTGAAAAAAGGAAAGGAAAGGGGAAAGGAAAGGATAGGAGGTGAAAAAAGAGGAAAGAAGGGAAGGGAATGGAGGGAAGGAAAAGAAAGGAAAGGAAGAAGGTGGAAGGGAAAGGAAAGGATAGGAGGTGAAAAAAGAGATAGATAGATAGATAGATAGATAGATAGATAGATAGATAGATCTTCTGCTTCCCCTTTAAGATTTGCACTTTGAAGTGGTAAGTCAGCAAAGCTGCTTTCTAAAATAAAAAATATAGCATACATCTCTCTCTCTCTCGTTTAGTTGAAGGCTGAGAGATGAAGGAGACAAGGGAAAAAGGAGCACTCTTACCCCTTCGAATGGAAACATTCCCCCAGAAAAAAAGCCGCCTGCTCTACATCTCAGGTTAATGGCAGATCTGAGGAACCTCCAGCCTCAGTTGCAGTCTACCTCAACCTCCGTCATCTGGAACAATGAAGATGTTTGCCCTGCAAGGGAGACCTTTTTTTTTTTGGAGAGTTCCCAGATTATTTCTGGTGGGGGGGAAATAGGAGTCTGGTTGGGTCAGAGCGAGTCTGGGGGGATTCTGGGAGTTGAAGTCCTCCCCTCCTAAAACATGCCAAGTGGGAGCGAGGGAGCCTCTCTGGGCTTCCAGATGTTGGGGCTTGGAGTCCCCTCCCGGAGGCGCCTGGTGCTCGCCTGGGCATGCCCGCTCACCCTTGACACACCTGGGCTGCCCGCCGTTGGTTTTCCGAGGCTGCCCGCCCGCCCGCCAGAGGCTGCAAGCCGGGACGTGTTCGAGGAGGAAAGGCAGCCCGGATGACTTAAGAGGCAGCGCGGCGTAGTGCTTAGAGCCCAGTCTGTCTAGGAATGCCAGCCGAAGACTGGAGGACCCCAGCAGCAGGGCGTGGCAGAAGAAGGAAGGAAGGAAGGAAGGAAGGAAGGGAGGGAGGGAGGGAGGGAAGGAGGGAGGGAGGAAGGAAGGAAGGAAGGAAGGAGATGATAGAGAGAAAGTTGGAAGGAAGGAAGGAAGGAAGGAGATAGAGGGAAAGACAGAAGGAAGGAAGGAAGGAGATAGAGGGAAGGAAGGAAGGAGATAGAGGGAAAGTTGGAAGGAAGGAAGGAAGGAGATAGAGGGAGGGAAGGAAGGAAGGAAGGAGATGATAGAGGGAAAGTTGGAAGGGAGGAAGGAAGGAAGGAAGGAAGGATAGTAGAATAACAGAATAAAAGAATTGGAAGGGACCTTGGAGGTCTTCTAGTCCAACCCTTGGGACAGGCAGGAGACCCTATACCTATTCAGACCAATAGCTGTCCAATCTCTTCCTCTTCCTCCCCTGCTGGAGCCCCCACAACTACCAGTGGCAAGCCAGCCTCTTAGCGGGCTCCCCAGAGGCTATCTGGCTGACCCAGCCAAGCTCTTCCTAGATTTTTTTTCTCTCTCGGCTGCAACCATCCTTAAACCAGGCGAACTGGTTGCAAAGCGTCCCAATTTTGTTCCGTGGGGGGTGTGTGGGGGGAGGCAGGAAACTCTGCAATGGTGTGAGAAATGCCCCTCCCACTCAGTCCCTTTCCACCACCACCCCACTCCCGTGCCGTCATAACTTGGAACGGTCACTAAACAAGTCAGCTGGGGGCCAGGCCGAAAGCAGCAAGCCCTTGCCTCCTTTCCTATTTCCAAGGAACAGGTTGACCAGCTCACAATCGCCCTTTTGTTCTTGCAGGAGGCAAACAAATCATCATCTGTCTCCCAGCGGGGGCCTGGCTTGCCAAACCTTCCCTATTGGTCGTCCCCGGTGGGGAGGATCCGGTGGGGAGGGTCCGTGGCTTGGGTTTTAGGGCAAAACTCAGCCCCCACTCCCCCCCACCTCCCACCGTTCCTTCCTTCCTTTCCTTTCCTTCCTTCCTTTCGTTCCATCCATCCATCCATCCATCCATCCGTCCAGCCAACCCATCTACTACAGCCTCCTGTGCAGTAAGTCGTTCCCGTTAACTGAAGGGCAGAGGGAGGGTGGGGTGGCCTAGTGGTTAGAGCCTGCAACCCTTGGCGTGTTTCTATCTCTCCCCCCCCCCCCCCCCCCCCAAAAAACTCCCCCCCCCCCCCCGCCTGGATTTTCCCAGCTGCAAAAAATAATAATAATAATAATTCAACAATTCTTGCATTCGTGAGTCTATTCGCCAATGCAAACTTCACCAAAGATATTTGTGTGTGTGTGTGTGTGTGTGTGTGTGTGTGTTTCTCTAGAGGGGATGCAAGGATCTTTGTGTGTGTGTGTGTGTGTGTGTGTGTGTCCCTCCCCGAAATGACACTTTGAAGCTGAATTCATGAATTGCATTTTAAGTGGGAATTCCCCCCCCCTTTTTCCCCCAAGAATGGGGAGGTGTGGGGGGGGCGTTTGGAGGAGAAGTTTTGGGGAGGGGTGAGTTCACACACCCATCTTTGGGGGACCTGTTTCTTGAACTAACTGGTTTGGGGGGCGGGGAGCCTTGATGAACCCAACGGAGCCAAAGTTAACCAGAAGTTTAGCATCAAAAGACGCAAGAAAGTGAAGCTTTAATCCGGATTTCAAGGAACCGGGTTTAGCTTGTTAGGGGAAATCCAGTGTAAACCTGGCAAAAGCAACGGAAATTTTCCCCCCTGGCTTGGTGGGTTAATTTATTTATTTTTTCTTTAAAAAAAAATAAATCACATTTTTCTCCCGTTCTGTCCGGTTCTGTTGATTTGGAGGAGAATGTCAGGATTAGGAATAATGGAGATATTTGGACATCCACTTGGATTTAAATGGGAATTTCTCTCGCAGGGGGAGGGAAAGATTTCCTGCGGTGGCCAAAGAATTGGGAATATTTTTTGCAAAATTCACGCCGGAAGAGATGGAGTTTAAAACCCTAAACCCAGGGAGAATTTTTCACAGGTCGTCAAATAGTCAAACAGATTTTTTTTTTTTGGGGGGCGGGGGGGGGCAGCCCAAGGAGTAAAATTTGCCATTTTTTCCCCCTTTGTTGCAAACGTTCCTGAGAGTTAGTGTAATTAAGGGGGGGGGAAATATTGATGAAATTATAAAAGAAAAGAAGAAAAACCCTGTAAAATTTTTCAATGTATGATTGAAAAAAAGGAAAGGGGGCTTGTGAAAAAGTCGGGGGGGGCAGGGGAAATATGCGTAAATCTCTTTTTAACGGTGAGGTGTCCATTTTAACGGCTCACGCCCCCAATTTGGCTGACCGGGATTCGAATCCAAGCCCGGTGTGTGTGTGTGTGTGTGCTCCAATCATTTGTGGTTTCTTTTCCCCGCCTTTGCTGATAAAAACAAGGAGAAACAGACTGGTGACAGTGCCAGTTTCCTTTAAAAAAACGAGCGAAGCCCTCTGTGCATGGGCAGGAGCTGCCCTGTGGAATTCAAAAGCTCGGAAATTAGTCTCAATGGGTCCCATTTGAAGCTGCTGCCAATAATTGGGGAGTTTGGGATAAAAAAAACCCAGATTTCGAGGCTCTTAGTCTCCCCTCGGCCAATCATCATCTTCATTTGTAGTAGACAAACTCTGCATTTCTTCAGGTAGTCCTTGACTTACAACGGTTTGTTTAGTGACCGGCCCCCCAAAAAAGAGACCGAGGTCCCTTTTTCACATTTACGACCATCCCGGCAGTCACGCGATCAAAATTCAGACGACGACTCGTAGTTATGACGGGCGTGGCGCCCCCTTCAGACAAGCCAAATCAAAGGGGGTGGGGTGGGGAAAAGCCAGATTCGCTTAACGGCCTTGTGACTAACTTAACCGTGGCCCCGGTTCACTTAACGACTGTTGCAAGTAGACGGGGCAAATCCCGCGATCGAAATCCAGGCGCTTGGCCCAAACGGCTCGTATTGACGACGGGCGTGGCCTCCCGGGCTTACATCATCCCTTTTCGAGCGAAATCAGTAGGGGAGCCGAATCAGAGTAACAGATCATCAGAGTTGGGAGGGGACCTTGGAGGTCATCTAGTCCAACCCACCCACCCCGCCCAAGCAGGGAGACCCTACCCCATTTCTGACAGGTGGCAGTCCAGATCTCTTCTTGAAAGTCTGAAGGGATGACCTTGATAAGAATCTGCTTAACAACCTGGCGACTAACTTAACTACGGACGCGATTCAACTTAACCACCGCGGAGGTTGTAAAACGGAGCGGGACGCCTCGCGGGACCCCAGAAATTTGGGCCCTCGGTTGTGTTAGCTGCAATACAACGAACAGCTTACCTGTAGGGTTTACCTGGGTTGGTTGAATCATTTCTTTTTTTGTTTCAAGGATTGCAAAAGCGGCTGTTTCCTCATCCCCAAACATGTGTCGTGCCGTGATTTATTTATCATGTAATTAGCAGCCGATAGGGACAGAGAGCTCTGCGCCAGGCCTACGTGTCATTCCCTAGGAGCAATTAATAATAATAATAATAATAATAACAAATAATAACACAGCCTCGTGTCTCTCCCCGCAGAGCTTAGAAAAACACGACAAATATTTGGGCCAACACCTCAAAAAAGTATGTTACCAGGCGCTTCTTCCCAGATTGGAATTGAAATTCGAAATAAAAGCGAAGGAGAATCAGAACGGCCAATCCGCAGGCTGCCTGTGTCGATTTTTAGATCAAGACCCTGCTTTTTAATTTATTTGGATTTAGGCTCAGCGAGCCCTTAAAGAGTAAAAAAGATGGTTGTGTGAAAAAGGGTTGTCACTCCCTCCTTTAAAAAAAAAATAAAAAATTGCCGTTGTGACTTTGAACCGTCACTAAACGAATTATTGTCAAGTCGAGAACTACCCATATCAGGAAAACGCTGAAGAGATGCTTATATTGGTTCGAAGGGAAGAGAGAAATTAAAAATAAATAAAATGAACTAGAAATAAAATTAAAATAACTCAAAGTCAGCCAGCCCGAAGCAACATGAATTTCCAAGGAGAAAATTCTGCTGGAAAGAAGAAGGAGAGCAGGAGGAGGAGGAGGAGGAGGAGGAGGAGGAGGAGGAGGAGAAGGAGAAGGAGGAGAAGGAGAAGGAGAAGGAGAA